AGCTAGGGCTTACTTTCAGGGTAAGGTTGTATTTTCGAAGAAACAGGGTATTTCACAACTGAAGTTCCTCCCCTTCTTTTTTTTCTTTTCTCTCCTTCCCCCCCGGCAGAACGGCGGTTTCCACCTTCAAAGACTTCGAGCTGGCTTCATCCCAGCAACAGCCGGACACCATCCTCCGTCAGCGCTTCCGAGAACAACTCCGGGCGGAAGAGAGAGCCAAGTCCCTCTTAACGACCAAACCCAGGACCAACCGCTTCGTCAAGCTGGCCGTGATGGGGCTGACGGTGGCGTTGGGGGCGGCCGCCGTGGCGGTGGTCAAGAGCGCCCTCGAGTGGGCTCCCAAATTCGAACTCCAGATCTTCCCCTAAAGGCTGACGGACAGAAGGAATGTCCTCTCTCTTTCTCTCTCTCCTCTCAGCGGAAGACGAGCCGAGTTTGGAGGCCCGCAGCTCCGAATCCGCTCCCTACTGTAAGCAACCTTGGGGCGCGGAGAAGGGACCGCTGCCTTGGGCTGCTACAGGTTTGGGTGGTCTCAATGTCTCCCGACCAGCTAAGGGGCAAGACCCCTTCTTTCCTCCCCCTGCTGCCTGACAAACAGAGAAGGAAGTCTCGGCGCGCCCCTTTGGGGTAAAAACGTTGGGGTTCCTATGCTTTTTATCCGAAGGAGAGACGTAGCTTGGGATCTTGAGAACTTCTCCCTTCCTCCAAGCCAATTCGATTATCCGTCTTACCAAAAAGGGAAGGAGATAGTTAAGTATCTCAGCGGTTGCCAGCAGCAAGACTGGATTCCCGTTTCGATATTCCGATATTTCGTGTCAGCCGGAATCCGCAGGAAAAGAGGTTTTCGTTAAATGCACAGAATAGATCAGCAACTTGGCAACTTTTAAGACTCGTTTGAGACTTTTAAGAATTCTGGGAAGTCCACAGACCTTAAAAGTTGCCCAGGTCGGATGCCCTTAGAATAGATAGATCCTCTTCAAACTGATCCGTTGCCATCCAAGCCAAAAATAAAATTTAAAAATATCGATCCAGATCACGCAGTTTGGAGGGCGATACCCAGAAAGCCTTCCCTGACAAAAAAAAAATAAAAACTTTTCTTTTTCCCCTGCATGGAGAATTCTCAGCAAGGAGGATCGCTTAATGCATAATCGCCCCACTACAAAAGCCTCTACTCACAAGTGTCCTTACCCCAACCTTCGCTACCTTTGAAAAGGCGCGTTCTTGGCTCTCTTGGAAGTGACCCAACGGAAACCTCCTAAGAACCGGGCTTGCCAGTCCTCTCGAAAGCCGAGCCAAGGACTGCTCGCTTTTGCCACCTTTGAACATGGCATCGATCCAAGAGTCGGGCTGGACAGCTGGACATCGAGGTGGACAGCTGACGAGTCCTGCCGTGTCCTGAACTCAAGATGTCCTTCAGAAGCCACAGCTTCCAGAAAACATCACGATGCAGCCCCTGAGAGCATCTAGACTTCACCTCGGCGTGTTTTTCTTTTCAAAACCGTTGCATTGAATTCTCTTCTGGGGTGAGACTTTTGGCTTCTCCTGGTGAAGAAGCAACCAGGACATGGTCCTTCTCACATCCTTGTGGGCCTTCTCTCTTCCGGACGAGCTCAGGGGCTGTTGCCCTAAGGTCCGTGCCTTTCTCCACGGGGTTGGATCGCGCTTGCGTGGTTCTGAAGACCAGTTTAACCCAAGAAAGCTGGTTGGACTTCAGCCTGTGCTCTGCCTTGAGAGTTGTTGTTCAGGTGCTTCTAGGCAGAACCGGACCACTGGGTCACCCAACATTTTTGAGAATGGGTTTTGGGACTGTGCCATCCCCCCGAAGGCGGAGTGGGAGCATAGGTAGACTTTCTCCCAACAGATTGGATCTAAAACCCCGTGTCATATCATAAGAAGCGGGCATGGTATTATGGTGCCATCGGAGCATCAGTGGCAAAAGGGGACATGAACACTCGAGGCCGACAAAGATGGCCGAGAAACCCTTGACTTCTTTTTTTTCTTCTTCTTCTTCTAAAAAGCACTTTACAAAAATGATTTACTAAAAGAACAGCCTTTTGTTGGGAGAATTAACTAAGGCAGGAGAAGTGCTCTCTCACTTTTTGGGGTGGTTACTCTAAATGTCTCTTGTTGGAGGAATTTTCTTCCGTTAGCCTAGGAAAATTTGAGCCCCTAAACGTCGCTTTCGAACCACAGGAAATACACAGCGATCCGAAAGAGAAATTCCGCTTCATCGTGTTTCTCAAGAACCCGTCTCAAGCACTTCATTTTAATTATTTTATATTCGTCCATCAAAAAAGTACAAATTCGGACAAGGAAAATCAAGAATGTGGCAGGGACAGTAGACAGCTGCACTGGCACACAACCCCTTAAGGGACATCATATACACAGAGCAAGGTCCTCAGTTCAGCGTCGGTCAGCAGAATCTTTTACAACCCTGATTTTTTGGGTGGATTGTGTGAAGGCTCAAGTCTTTTCCTTCCACCCGGAGTCCTATCCATAGAAAACGAGCATTATCGAGGGGCGAACGGGAGTGAAAACTCCTTAGAAATAATCTGAAGTTTGCACTGCAGTCTAGAAAAATTGGCCTGGTTATTTTGCTGGTTATTTGCACTTCTGTCGGAGAGGAAAGGACAGATTTGATGAGGAACGGGTCTGCCCCACCGGTGGATTAAACAGGACCCCCATTGCTGGTGGGAAGTGGGGAACAGACGTTGTTTCCTTGCGAGTTCTCACGAATGAAGGAACAGAGAGCGTTCGCCTTAAAATGCCAACCGAGGGCACCCTTCCACTTCACACAATCTGAGACTTGCGAACACAACAGCGGTGACCCTGGAAACCCACAAAACTAGCGTGCCCACCGATGCGGGGCATCTCACCCAGCTTAACTTTCACCCCTCTGTGGGCAGACAGGTAACTCAAAAGAGGCTGAATTCAGCGTAGAAAAAAAAGGTGGATTGCAACAGCCCTTCGGTTGCGCATCCTGGGCGGTGTAGCTCTTCTGTATACTCGTGTACGTATGTAACTTGTAGATTTGTACAGGGCTTGTAAGTGTGTACATTAAATAAATGCGCTACTAACTTACTAAAAGCTGTTTGCAAAGATGGTGCCGGAGCTCTTTAAATCAAGGTGGGCTGTTCCCCCCCCCTTTCCTTGCTCTGCGTGGGCTAGAATGCGTCCACAACAGCTGGCCCCTGGGGAGAAGGATTACACTAATATTAAAGAAACGGCGGGACAGAACCATTCCAGAGATGATGCCCAAGGAAGGAACAAAATGAAATGGGAACGAAAAGATTCAAAAACCGTTTAAAGAGTTACTTTAAATGGTTTGATGGAATGGTTGAAATTGGCTTGCGGCGAATTATCCTATAGAACGAAAAGGACTAGGGGAGACAGGAGAGCATCTTCCAATATTTGAGGGGCTGCCCCAGAGAGGAGGAAAGAGGTCGATCTATTTTCCAAAGCATCAGAAGGCCAGACAAGGAATAACGGATGGAAACTGATCAAGGAGAGAGATTCCACCTGGAAATGAGGAGACATTTACTGACAGGGAGAACCATCAACCCATGGAACAGAAGTTGTGGGAGCTTCATCCCTGGAGGCTTTCAAGAAAAGGCTGGACAGCCATCTGTCAGAAAGCGGGTAGGGTCTCCTGCATGGGCAGGGGGTTGGACTAGATGACCTACAAGGTCCCTTCCAACTCTGTTAATCTGAAATCCAAGAAGATGCTTTTCCCCTGATATCAATTTGAGCTCTTTGTAATCTCAAAAAAAAAACCCACCCCAAATGCAGTCTCCTCCACCACCCCTCCCTTTTCCCTTCCCCAAAGCGGTGATCCAATCCCTTATAATGTCTACCCCGAAAATGGCCTATTTGTTTTCTTAATCAAGTGCTTAATTCTCTTCGCATAAAAGGCATGGCTTCGATCGTTCACAATGGGCTGGACTAGAAGACCTCCAAGGTCCCTCCCAACTCTTGTTATTCTATTTTTATCCTACCCTTTGGCGAGTTGTCCTGCAACAACCTGGCCGTGGGGAATTGGCCGTGGCGAGCTGTCCCCTTTTGGAGCAGATTCTCCCATTTCAAGGCCTCCTTGAAACGGTCCCAGGGCAGCTCAGCCCAGCCCAGCCCGGGTTCAGGGCGGCTGTGAAAGAGGGAGCCGCGGCTCTTCTCAGGGAAGGGAAGGAAACTATCCAGGGGTGAGAACGGAAAAGCCCCCAACGGAGCCCTTTAAGTCAAGGGTGCCCCAATCTCGCCCAGTTTCAGTTGTGGGTGGGGGGAGGAGACTCCAACTCCCAGAATTCCCCAGCCAGCCAGGGAGGATTGCAGGCCTGGCTGGGGAATTCTGAGAGTTGGAAGTCCGCGGATCTTTTAAAAGCTGCCCAGTTTGAGACACGCTACTGTTGCCGCTGGTTCTCAGCCTTTGCAAAACGGCCTTTTGCTGGAATTCGGTAGGTCTCGTTTAATGAAAAGAAGGACGTGCGGAGGCACGATAGCAACATTGCCAATATTTGAAAGGGTGCCACCAGCTCTTTTCCGAATCACCAGAAGGCAGAAGAAGAAATAAGAATGGGAACTGATCAAAGAGGGAAGCAACCTAGAATTAGGAGACATTTCCTGACAGCGAAGACAATTAACCAGTGGAACTGCCTGCCTCCAGAAGTTGGGAATGCTCCAGCAATGGAAGTTTTTAAAAAAGATGTTGGACAACCATTTGCCTGAAGTGGTGTAGGCTTTCCTGCCTAGGCAGGGGGTTGGACTAGAAGACCTCCAAGGTCCCTTCCAATTCTGTGATTCTATTCTACTATTTATGAAAAGTCAAGAAACTCCAGTTGCCTCTTGAAAAAAGACCTTTGGGACAACCAGGACTGGGCGGATGGGGAATCTCCATAGATGATATCACCTCATACAATTCCCAAGTAATAAATTCCTAAAATGGTGCATTATTTTTTATTTTTTATTTAAAAAAAAAAGAGCAAGAGAGGTATTTTTAGCGATTCCGCCTCTTTAATTCCCAACCCTCCGTATGCTACAGAATCCTTATCTCGGGGAAATCATGACGTCCATCGCGTTGAAGATCCGTTCGGCAGGCTTTTCACATTCCCTAAAAAAAAAATCCTGTGCCGCTGTTTATCTTAAATTTCAGAAACTAGATTTAAGGGTGGGGCAGGGAACAGGAGAGGTGACTCACCCCCCCCCCCAAAAAAACCCGCAAAGCTCCATCTGATCCTGATTTGGCCTGAAAAATCACCGAAGTGACCTAAAAGAAGCAAAGCAAGTAAAAACTGGAAGGCAGGCCAAGCTGCCCCAGCTCCGTAATACCAGTAAAAGGAGAATATTGTGGTTCATTGCGTAAATCAAAACCACAACTCAAAAGTCTGGTTGGAGTGCAATGAGTGGCAAGATTCCGGTAAGGTCAACGGCGATCCGAGCTTGAAATATGGACCAGATCATGTTATGTGTGCAGAAAGACGCGAAGAACAATCAAACGAGCACCGCTGTTTTTGAGAAAGACGAAGCAGAACATCTAGAGCGAAACCAACCCACAGGTCAAGTTCTAGGCCCAACCGACACGGGTGGGACGACGAAAAGATGCCCCCTTCAACCAACTCTTGAGGCTGGAGATCTTCTTGGCTCCGTCACCACCTCGGTCGACAGGAGAGTTGTCCCAAGACGGACGTGGGAAGGAACTGGTCGTGCAACAGAAGACCCGTGCAATTGTCCGAAAAGTCCCCTCCTTCCATCGTCCAGGATTCCATCCCCCTCGTCTGCAAGCGAAGGGTCCCATCGTGTCTGCAAAAAGTCCGATTTTCAGGGCTCTCCCGCCATCAATGGCAGTTCTGGCAATTCGGATGGCAGGAGACACCGTTGACTTTGCAACGGCAGCCGCCACTGATGTCGCCCAAGCCCTGAAGGGGGAAAGAAACACGGAGCGTGAAAGGGGAGGGGGTGCAAGATCGTCTCCCAGAATCCCACCCCACCCCACCCCAGCCAGCAAAGTTGAAATAAATCCTGTTCTAATCCAACCCTCTGCAAAAATGTAGGATACATAAAATTACACACACACACACACAGGTGCAAGGTGGAGTTCTCGCCTCACAGAAGGCTATGAATTCTGATCCTAGGTAGCGGCAGGTATTTCTCTCTCTCTGGGCAGAATGAGAATATATCTGCTGAGCAAAAACTCCTCATCGGCAACAGGAAAGGTATCCAGCCAGTAAACACCCAGCTCCGTTCGGTTGCCCAGATTCCAGTCAGGTAAGGGATTACGGGGGTCATTAAAAGACCAAAATAAATAAAATTACACACACACGAGTTACTACCCTCTGTCAATACGTACAGCTGGCCCCCAGCGAGGTCCTTTGGTCACCCAGCAAATCTCCGTGTGGCAGACGGTGCATCGGATCCAGTCGCAGCCGTCCTTCTTCTGCACGATGATCCTGCAGGTGGGACAGTACATGGCCTCCCCATCCCTGACCAGCCTCTGAAAAAGGGAGCAGAACCGTTCAAAACGTCCACAACTCTTCCTAGTAGCACTGGGCGGGAGGGGAAAAGGTTTACAGACGGGAGTTTTGTCCAGTGGTTGAGGCACCCTGGCTAGGAATCAGGAGACGGTGAGTTCTAGTCCCACTTTAGGCATGAAAGGCAACTGGGTGACTGGGCCAATCACCAAGAGACTGGGGGTTCTAGTCCCACCTTAGGCATGAAAACCCACAGGGTGACTGGGCCAATCACCAGGAGACGGTGAGTTCTAGTCCCGCCT